TTTCATTCAACTTATGAAAAACAGAAACTCAATCAAAATAAACTTTTTTTTACTACACTGTATTACTAAATTAATTCTATATGATTTTGTAATGAATTTGAATAATTTCTATATAATGGCCAAATTTGAATATTTTCATTGTTCCAATTTGAAAATATTTTTTTCAATAAGTGAGTGTTTTAGTAGGTTTTAACAAGCGATTTGGAACAAAAAATTATTCTGTTTTTGCCTTTTCTGAATAGAAACCGATGTTATTCATCAAATAATTATTATCGATATTTCACCGCTCGAAATATTTTAAATGTGAACATCTTAAACCAGTGTTATGACAAAAACAATAAAACAACAATATACATATGCTTTTTCATTAAGTGCTGTGATAAAATCACTTCAACGCAACGGCTCTATATTTAGGAACCACATGGCGGATGCTTTGAGAGAATTTGGTGCTTAAATCTACTGCAACGTTAAATATCACTTCTATGGGCTTTTGTCTCATTGTACATGATCTCCATAATGAAGTATTTTCAAATAGATTAAAAACATTCTATTTTTTTGTTGTCAAAGCTAAAATAGTTTTCATATAGATCATGTCTTGGCGTGAAGTTTGAATATTCTCACGTGACTTTGTTTACAATTTTATGTCGAACTTGCGTAACCCTTTTTTCAACATGCATCAACTGTCTCATTTACTACCATCGGTATGCCGTAGGAATGATACTATTAGACATTGATATCAGTGAGGTACGAAACGATTTGAATCAATTCAGAATCATTTATATTCCGCATTTTATATTGATTTCAGACATAATTTGATAAAATGAAACCTCACAGTATGACTGAGTTATCCTGCCATTCCATTTCAGAAAACTATTTAAAAAAATAAATTGTTCATCGTAACTTAACTTTCTTGCACTTTCAAATTCAAACTAGTTGAATGTTCATAGATTTATACATTTTCCCTGTATATCTCCATTTGTAATATAACAGTATTTAATATTTCATAATCAAAAATATTTTGGAATGTATTTGGAATAGTAAGTTATTCAGTTTCATTCATGAGGATGATAATTGAACTAGCATTTGTGATGTTCCTTGAAGAATATTTAATATTGTAGCGGAATCTATATTTTTATTTTTGAGGTGGTGTCGCTTAATAAGCGGTCATATAATCAGTATCGCGTCACATGTTAAGTCTATATTTAAGTACCACACGATGAATGCTTTGAGAGAAATTTAGTGTGAACATGAACAGAGCAGCGCTCGAAATAATCTCTCGTACTGGTGAAACGACCATAGTTTTATAATTCGTATAACTAAAACAAACTAAATTTTATTTTAATTTTATACAATGGAACATATTCATAATTAGTTCAGGGTTTGCAAATATTTTTGTTGAATCACAATTTGTACGAGTGAGAAGGATTTTCTACATCAGGTGTTCGTGTTGACCACAACACCGTCTCACGTGACTTTGTTTATAATATCATGTCGAGCTCGCGTAACCCTTTTTTCTAACATGCATCGACTTCTGTCTCATTTACTACAATGGAGAAGCAAGTCTTTGATTTGTACTTCTTGCGTATCTTACAATGGAGCTAAAAAACTATCTATATATTGCATTTCACAAGTTATTATAAATGGATTAAATAATTTTGAAATGATGATATTTAGACGTAATGTAAATCTGAATCGCCATGACAATCTTGCTTTTGAAGCAAATTGAATTAAATGGCTATAAGAGTATGCATACCATGTCATATATATGAAAAAATATACATTGCAATTTACAATTGTGGTGGTTTCAATTTAGATTAGAACATAATTTTTGGGCTTCTAAACTGTAATATAATATTAAGTCATTTCTGAAAAAATTTGGTAGTATGCACCACGTGGATTAAAATTTGTTTAGTATAATCTTATCATATATTAATAATATATCAGTGTTTAACAGATTAGAATTACAACAGGACATTAGAAATTGGTATTTTTTATGTACCGTAAATTTTGTTAATACTTCTAGTACTGTACCGAAAAAATTCTCAATCCCAAACGTTTTAATTTAAATTTGCTTCGCAAATAATACCAGCATTTATTTGTCTATTCAATTTCTAAGGCTCGTTGACATTATTAAAACCAGTAACTGGTTCAGTTGTTTTCAATAATAGTATTCTGCTTTTATTCCTGTTTTGTATTTCAAGCTTATCAGCTGCTTTTAACCGGAATTCCCACAAAATAATAAATCACAATCTATCCGATTCGAAGAAATATTTGCATATGTATATGACCACATTTTGTATGGTACTTTGGACAATTACTAATATATAGTTTATAATATTATTTGGTAGGAAGAAAACACTCCCAATCTAGACTTGTATTCAAATAGGCTAAAAATATTTGAAAAATAAGACTGTTTTGTGATAATATTACTATTGTATTACGTAATCTAATTCAATTAGACTTGAACATAGAAATTCTGTATACTATTATTTACAAGCCTAATGGAAGAACATTCAGTTTAACTGATACAAATTTCAATACTTTATTAAGGTTATTAGTTGCTTTTATTCAGCATTTGAACTTAAAGAAAATGTTCAATATGGATGATGAATGTTCTTTAACTCATTCTATTTTAAACGATTCCTTTCGTATGGCAATAATGGGCTTTTATATATCGCTTATTGTGGTGTGTTTCGCACCTATCTGGCACTTATCATGCAGTACTTGCATACTGTATATTTAAATTGTGAGTCATTCAGCATTTGCATTGCTGTAAAATACAGACTGTATGTAACGCAGAGCTATTGATTATTTGTGCTGGGCAGGATATCCTCTCGGGACATACCGTAGCTTAGTCTTTATATTTGCTTAGCTGTTTATATAAATCACACTATCACATGGCTAAGTTTCTTTGAGGTGTATTTTTGCTATGCTGAACCTATGCCGATAATATCTAAAGATTTTGCATATATTAAAAAGAAATACTCCCTACTGTATCAGATGTCATATTATTTAGTATTAAATATTTGAAATCTGCAGATTGGATGGAAATTTGCCTTTTTCCATTTCTCCCGCCCATGTACAGCATGCTCATGAAAAATTCACGAAAATGTATTTTATACCTTTAACTTTATTTAAGAAGCATACTTTGAGGGCCCACCATACTGTTTTTGTTGAATAATGATTTCGTTCTGCTATTGTTTGACTAAGAAGATAACTGCTTTGATGAATGAAATACAGATACTTAAAATCATCATGTACATTACTGATTACGCTAAAAAAATGGGGGTTTTTTGTATTTTGAAAAAACGCATATTGAAGTAAAATTTTCCAATATTGATTTTTATTTTGTTATGGTAGGCGTTATACCCACGTTGAAAATTTCCATCGTAAAAATGTGTGAATGTAATGTGAATACCTGATTTTCTGTTTCGGTGATACATCACGTGACTTTGTTTACTTTCGTAGCCATTGATGCGTAATTTGCAGACGAGAGATTTACCAGTTGGCCAATCGATTGTCTTATCAATGATTCGAACTTCGCATATATATCTTTATTTATGATACAACGCAGAGTATTCAGATATTTTTTCACCAATCGAATTAAATTTTCTCAAATAAATTTTCATCTAATTCAAATTGAAATGACAGATAGTTTTAATTTAGACAGAACAGCAATTGGGTTTCTTTGTTGGTAAATAACTTTGACAAGTTAATATAAAATACTTCCATTAAAAATAATATTAGTTTTATTCTATTGAAATAGTATAATTAGATATGTGCCATGACCCAAAAATCCACATGTATCATCTTTAATAATAAATACACTTTTATTTGAATTTATGTGGTAGTTTTTGATAACCTATATTACTTGAATCCAAGCTTGCAGAATTAGGCTCACAGTTTTTTTTTATATGACATATTTAGCTCTGAAAAAGGCTCTACCTAAGCCATCATTACTAGGTAATGAATTACCATAGTATGGACATGGTAAAACCAAAATCTCCCCAATTTGTCATTTTCTACCCAATTTATCTGTGTGAGATGTAGGCAATGAAATTTGAACTCAAGATTTTAACTTGCAATGTTTCATAGTTGAGTCTAATGCATTAACAACTAGGCCACATGCATAATACAAAATTTGAAATTTCCAAAAATCAAATGTATATGGACATGCAAAGTTTTTTCAAGTATTGAAATGCATCTCTGATACTTGTAAACAATAAACAGTACTTCAACTATTTATGATTCGTATGTGTATTCTACATAGAGTGTAAGCTAAAAAGTCTTACACGTTGATTAAGATATTGATTTAACTTGTATTATGTCGATTCATACACAGTGCTATAAATCATCAGTTCTGATCGATAATGATTATTGATCATACTGTACAGCAGTGTTGACATGCAACTGACAGTTTGTGTAATTTTGAAAATACCGTGTCAGATCAGGTTTTTCTTGATTTATTGAGTTTGTATCATACCGTAGGTTATAGATAAATACAAAAACAGTATTTTTTATTTAGTTTTGAAATTAGTGAATTTTGAGGGTAGCTGTTTTCAAAATTTTAATAGTCAAGTTACATTTGCTATAAAAATTGTCAGTTTTGCTGTGATAATTTACATAATTTAGCTTATGTAATAGATTTGGGAGATGCATTTCAATATTTAAATATAAATAAATTCAGGCAAAATTTCCAAGGAGATTATACTGATATTGTAACTCTAATCAATTAACAGTATTATTTACATAAAGACTTTATATATACTTAGCTTTGTGATTGTATGAAGAAAAAAAACTTTTTTACTTATTGTAAAAACGGAAAGATGAAATAGAAACGTATACTAACAATACCTATAAAGGGCTTTCGTTTGGATTAGGTGATATACGGTAACTGCCCTTCTCTTGTGGGATAAATTCAAATATTCTATCCCAACCCTATATAAGCAAAAAAAAATCTGATATTTGTTTTCAAAATTTTTTTTTATTGTTTTCTACAGGAGTTGGAACAGTTATATTCTGAGAGAAAACGTAGTAGGACAGAAGATCAAAGTGAAGCTGTATCTCAAGTGGTATGTACACTAATTTTTATATCGTAGGTTACACACTGGTTCAAATTCAATGACCACAACCTCTCAGGGTGTAATAAACCAGTTCGGCAATGCCGAATCGGGAGAATTCCAGTCCTTATAAGAATGGTAGCTCTATGGATATCGATTGCTGCTAACACAGGGCCTTATTCAGAGTTGAAGGCATGAATAAACATAATACATAGAGTAAAAGAAAAACTATTATGTAATGATTCAAAAAAGTGTTAATTGAATTTTTTTTTCGTTTTTACAGGCCTCTCTGCCTCAGAACTTTCCCGGATTTACCTCAACAAATCAGAATTTTGTTCAACAGCCTAACCTGGTTGCTTCAATCCCAACACAACAACAGGGTTTTAACAGTGGTTCTCTACCATCACACAACAATCCTGTAACCTTAAGTTTTCAACAACAACTTCAGCAGAACCATTCACCTCACAGTTCGTACGATCAACCTTTAGGTGCTGTTGGTCAGGGGCATACCGATATCATATCTGCGGCATTCAGGGAAATTGAGAGCAACCCACCCATAAACGCAGTTACAGAATTAACAAGTGTCCTGAATCAAGGTGATAATTCTGCCCAAACCAATAAAGTCTCAACCAATCCAACCTTTGATCAACAAGTCAACATTCAACCATGGAATCCAAATTTACCGAGTGTTGAATCTTTGCCACCACAACAGCAACAACCAGCATCGCTGCTTCAAGCTCAATTGGAAGGGACCATTCGCCTACCAGGACAACCACCCCCTTTACCACCCGGGCCTGGTCCAGGGCAGCAGCCGCAACAATATCAACCAAATGCTCAGGCTGGGACGCAAGCCGACCAACTTTTGAGTAATTTAACAAAGTTCAACGAATACGGTTCATTTCAGCGGAACGTGTCATCACCAAACCAGGCGACTGCTAATAAGCGATCCACCCCCGTGCGTCGCCCAAACTATGATAACACACCAAATCAGCCTCAAACACAATTCAGCACAGCACAAACGATTGGTAGTACCGACATAAACGACCAATCTCAGATAGCAGTAGGTACACCCGCAAGTCAAACAGTTTCCAATAATAGCCAAAACGCCAACATGTATCACAGTTCAGCTTCTTTGGCTTCGTACCCCATGACATCAACGGTGGATCCTCACGGAACAAATCCTCTTCTCAGTTCTCAATTGCATCGACCGTACGATTCTCCGAATACAACTCATATTCAAGCCACACCAATGCAAAACTATGGAGGTGCAATGCCCCAAATGGCTTCAGGGATGAGATACCCGAATGCAAATTTTCAACATTCACCGCAATACATAAACCAGAACATGCAGATGTCTATGCAGCGTTTTTCAAGCAATGTTCCGCAACAATCAGTGGGCTCTCAACGTAAAGTCAGCTTGGAACAAAACCCTCTATTCTTTCAGTCTTCTGATACACCTGCAGGCACTGTGCCCAGTAATCCCGGCGGTATGCCAAATTCAACTGAGAACGCCAATAATTATTTTCAGCAGCAATTGCCACAAAAGCAGTGGAATAATGCAGTCGGCCCTCCCCCACCTGTCTCTATTGCCAGCAATGGTGATAATGCTTCTACCGTTAAGCAAGAGATTATATCACCGATCGCATCTCACAGTGCATTACATAGCCCTGTTTCGTCATTCAATCAAGAAGCGAGTGACCATGGCCCGACGATAAGCCACATGCCTGAGCTGGCGCATTCTCCTGTTTCACAAACATCTGATGGTGAACAGAACAAGGTCAAAACAGAAACAACGGAATCTCAAGCTACTACACCAGGAAATACAGGACTTCCGTTTGTTACTACTCATTCTAACGCTAGTGGAACGATAGGTTACGCGGCTTACACGATTCCCCAAAATGGAGGTTCCTATTCAAACAACAACACTGGTTCTTTTTTAGTACAACCTGGCAGCGGCTCCATTTATAATAATTATAACCAAACGCAACCGCAGGGCGGGGGTTCGGTTCCAACAGCATCTGGTCCATTCATCACGAATACGAATGGATACACCAATCACGACCAATCAATGCCAGCTGCCAGGTTATACGAGTCAACGACACGACACAGTGAAAATCCATTTTTACCTTCTACCTCAAATCCTAATGCTTCTGGTGTGTGGCAGAGGACACAATCAGACAATTCGTCAACTAGTATACCATCTGTTACATCACAAAGCGATACCAATCTCACTATATCACCTGGAGAAAGCGGATACGATTCCGCGGAAGTCGTGCATGGGGCAGAGGAAACAGCCCACAGAATTTCTCAGGATCAAGATGCAGCGGCAACGAACCGAAGTATCGAAATGAAAAAGTCGATGACGGAAGACGTCCGTTCTGACGGGCAATCAACTTCAACTATCAACCCAAATGATATTGGGCCAAAAAACTTGTATAGGGCTCCGGTAGGCAATAAGACAGGTTCAGTGATTCATAATCCAGCAGCCTATTCAGTTCCATTTCTAGAAACTGGCCTGTCTTCTGCCGGAGCCTGTGCTACCTCTATGTACAAGAAACTTAATACACAAGAATTAATAATGGCTGCCAATACAAAAAACGTACACGAAAACACACAAAATTTAACATCAAAGAGAAGTTTATCGTGCGACTCTGCCGTTACTTCAGAAAAATCCGCTGATAATGCAAATGAAAAAGTCACTGTTCGTCTCCGCAGGTTTGATTGTTTCAGATGTTCATAGAATCATTTATTTCTTGAATCGTAATGACTTCGTTTAATTTGGCAAACATAATCGTGAATGAACAAGATTAATTGCCTGATCTGATGAAGTCGATTATTCTATTAATCGAGTCAGAATCATTTGCCTAACAAGAATGTCGTTTCCGCTAAGCAATGACCATTAAAAAAAGCAAAACATATTCCTAGATTTTAACCAAATTCTACTGAGTATTACTAAATATTGTATTTCAAACAAAAATATTTTTATTTGGAGAAAATTGTCGACGACATAAGTAGATACAATTTTACAGAAAATTCTTAGTAGGTCTATCTTGTAGTTGGTTATTAATTCGTTAGAATTTTTTGATTATGTGCAAGTTTAATACAAATTTATAAATGTTTATATGTAATTGGAATACTTGGGCAATTGTGGCCTGTGAAAGAATATTTTAGAAAAATATTAAAAAATGGCACAAAAATATCTGCACATTTTCTTGCATTAAAAATAGGATTTTATTTATTTTGATCGACTATTTCACAGCTATGCTCCCAAAGTGTTTCTCAATTATAACCGAAATCAGATGCGTCAGAGTTTGGACCTTTTATCGAGCATTTGTATTATCTTCTACAGATATAGCAATCAAGAAACATCTTCTGTAAAGATTGATTGTTCACAAAAGATACCTAAATCATTGCACAGTAATTTTATCGCGAAAACACCAATGCAAGGCGAACTAGAAAAAGAACGATACAACTGGCATGCTTCACCACGGAATATAATGCACGATCAAATTCAAAAACAATATGTTATTCCTAAACCAGGTATGCCGTTTTTTTTTATGAAGAATTACACCTAAAATTTAATAATATGGAGGATTATTTATTGCTATCTGAAAAGGATATCAATGTATTATTGAGCGTAAATAATTTTTTTCTGCGAAATTTCTGATTTTATACCAGAATATTGATTAACTTCAAAATTGTTTTCCTGTAAAATACTCAATTTAGAATATACAGAATTTAAAATCATTTTTAGAGGGGAATATAAATGACGGCCTATGTAAATATATTATAAATATAAGGCCTATACTCTTTGTTTTTGAACTTACACGCTAAGAACTAATATGTAATGTTTTAATATTTTCTGCCTTTGCTGAAAGTACCGTGAATCTGCATAAAGGCTATAAATTTAACTCTGTATATTCACAATATCCCTTCTGCTTGTACAAAACCTCATTCTGAGTGGAGGTCTGATAAACAACTCATAAAAAAAGTATAAAGAATTTAGGAAGACATTGTTTTTTGAATGAATAAAACGGAATTGATGTTCCACATTGAATACCCAATTTATTTCACCATGGGTAAGATAGTGCCCACTGTGTTTGAATCTATAACCCATGACACTAACATAGTCTCAAAAAGCCTATTATCTTCATTGGTTTGTCAAATTGTTTTTAGAAATGAAGTTATTCAACACCTATAACAAGAATCAAGAAAATAGTGGACAACGTCGTATCGTGCCTTTTGATACTCCACCGGTCACTCCTCGGTCAGTGGACTTTTACAACCGACACCCGAGCATTGACGCATCCGCAAACGAGAACTCGATAAATCAAAAACTAAATGATATACTACCTACTCCACCACACACTTCTGATACCCCAGGAAACAAATTCAATCCCAGCGAATTTTCATTAAATGAAAACTACTCTGCTGCGAAAGTTATGGACCATCAAACTCCTCAGCATGAAAATAGGTCCATAGACTACCTGCTACCTAAAACAGAAATCTCAAGCCAAAGAGGATTTAAAATTCAGGTTGATGGCTCCAGCCCAAGCAAGACTCAATTCGCCAAATGCAATTGTATAGCAGGTAATAGATTAGGTTGTTATTACTGTATATATCATATGAAAAAAATGATATTTTATATTGAACTATCAAGAACACACAACATGCTGGCATGGGCAAACCATGGCCCGCGGGTCAAGTATTGAATTGAGTAATTCAATTCGCCAGCCTGATGCTGCCAAAACCAAATTTTGATGTTTCAACTAAAAAATAGCTCAAAGGAATTTGTTGAGATTGCAATTAAATTTAGTTTTTGCACAAGGCTTATTGTTTTCCACTTTTGTTTTTGTAACACTGTAAATATTGTTCATAAACTGTAACTTTTTATGTTACACTTACATGGCCCACCAGTCTAGGTGGGCACAATTTTTGGCACTTGGTTCGAAAACCTTAATAAACTTGCATTTATGACATCTTTTCCGCTTTCCTCTTACCGGTATAGATATGAATATCTCCTATTCTGTCTGTATTCATTTCAATTTCCATTAATTTACGAAATAATTGAAAATTGATTATTTAACTTTGTGAATAAATATTGTTGTTTAAATAGACTAAGACAAAAATTATTGTTGATTTAATCACGCTTCCAGTCACGTAGGATCCATATGCTTTCAGTCTCCTTTTAATAGTTTCCTTCCTACACAAGGCATCAGATTACCAGACGAACATTTGTCGCCGTCGTAATTGATATCTTTATTTTGGGTCAAGCAAGATTTTACATTATACGACAATGATTACGAAATTGTATATACACTTTTGTGTTTTTTTTTTACGTAGGAACTGACGGTCGTATGGATGAAGCTCCCTATTATACACATCTTGGGGCAGCGGAAAGTGTCGCCGGAATTAGACGACTGTTCGAAAAACGTACTGGATATGTTGGTGCTGCCATCAGAATTGAAAAGGTAATTTGAAGAAGTGATTGAACATATATTGTTGCATCTTGGTGGATAATAAAACTGAAGAATATGCTATGTTTGCTATGCTCACAAATTCCTAAAATTATTAATCATTAATTATTAGTGTCTACAGAACAATAGTTAATCTTGGTATTCTTAGCAACATCATAGTATGAGTTGAATCGATCTGTTGGAAACGTTTTAAAATCATTGTTTTTTAAATTTCTATTTTTTGTTTTAGGTAATCTATACTGGAAAAGAAGGAAAAACCAAAAGTGGATGTCCAATGGCAAAATGGGTAAGCTTAATAATATTGATAATAATAACTGAATTTTATATTCCAACCTTAATAAGCTTGGTAAAAGTTGATGTAACAATGAGAAATAGCTATCAAACTAAAAAGCCCAGTTACGGTGATAATCAAGTCAAAATTTTCGATAGAAACTCAAAATGCATCATTAGGAATAAGACTAAACATTCGCAGCGCTTATTTAGGAATGCTTGCATATGGGAAAGTTTATTCATTGTATTTCCACGTAGTTTGGATCTGGAGTTTTCTGCAACATATTGTTGACCAGCAGCTGTTTTCAACTAGTGCGATGTATGAAGTCTGAATTGGGGGAAAACTTTTCCCAATTTCACTGTTCTGCTTATGAAGCATACACATCATATATTCAGATTATTCGTCGATCGAGTGAAGAAGAAAAGATTTTGATAGTTTGTCGACAGAGGCAAGGACATCATTGTGAAAACGCTGTTCTTGTTGTCATCATTTTACTCTGGGACGGCGTCGCACGACCTCTCGCTGATTTTGCCTACTCCAATTTTGCTGAACTTATACCCAAACATGGAGAACCAACAGAAAGACGCTGTGGAACTAACGACGAGTATGTATGAATCTTTTTCGAGTAAAGCTACCTGTGTTTCTCTTCATTAAAAAGGAAGTTTAACGTAACTCTGTTGGCAGGGGTGTAGCCAGGAGGGGACCCGGCCGTACCCGCTGGCTGATACGATCTAACTTGGAGGTATTATAAATTTAATACCCCCCCTTTTAAAATTATTGGCTACGCCCCTGTTTGTATATTTGCATATTACATATTATATTTGCATATTATTTTATTTCATACATCTACAATGGCCTAGCGGTTAAAGTTTTAGACTAACGGTAACTGTGTTGTGTGTTTACATCATATGTACTCATCTTGGCTTCTAATCTCATTCCAACCATCTCACCCAGGCTGCAATAAATTGGGTAGGCAATGCCGAACCGCAAAGATTCTGTCCTTCCAAACTATAGTATTACTCCACCTAGCAGTGTAAAAGATTGTAAATTTCAATACTTTTTATCTAGGAGAACATGTGGATGCCAAGGATTTGATGATGCGACATGTGGCGCTTCCTTTTCATTCGGTTGTTCCTGGTCCATGTATTATAACGGATGCAAGTACGCAAGATCGAATCAACCGAACAAATATAAATTGAACGGAACCAAGAATCCAGAAGCGGAAAAATTTATCGGGATGTTATTTGAAAGACTTGCAACTGTCATGTCGCCGTTATATCAAATGGCTGCACCCGATGCATTTCAAAATCAGGTATTGGGAATTACTGAGGATTCCGAAATTTCAGATATTTATAGAATCGTGTGTAGAGTTTGCAATCGGTTTCCAAAATTGTGTTTTGCACCGAGCAAGTATTCTGAAGTAAACATATATGTTAAGTAAAAAGTGTCAGGGCCATAATAGGGTCGTTTTATTAAAAAAATTTATCGCTTTGCAATAAAATGCTGAATTATATTAAAATAGAAATCAAATATTTCAAAATTAAAATAAATTGAAATATTTTTGAGACCGATTTGAACCAAAGTTATATAACGTAAACCGGGAATTCTTAAATCAATCAAAAATTTTAAATACTTGATTTTGAGATAATTTAGATTATCTTTGTTTGAAAATTGAGCATTTTCAGCAATTAAAGTCTCCTTGTGAGGCCACAGCCTTCATTCAATCTCTGTTCTTCTAGGCTTCATGTTGTGGTTTCAATATTCAACCATATACCGTATTCTAGGTTGAATTTGAAGAAGAAGGTTCTGAGTGTCGACTGGGTGAAAGGACATCGAAACACAGTCGACCTTTCAGTGGTGTTACAACATGTTTTGATTTCTGTGCACATTCACATAAAGATCAACATAATATTGATAATGGATCGACAGTGGTAAGATATTGTTTTTGTATTGTATAATTTATTCTGAAATATTGGTTGATTCTGATTTCTGAAATAGTGACTGACATTGTATTACTTTCGAACTTTGTTTAATGCTTGACATGTTATTTTGTGGAAATATATCCAAATTCAGAAACAGGAATGGATTGTTTTGTTATTATGTTGTTGTTGTTATTGTTTGTAGTCTTTTTAATTTTTTTTTATTTTTCATGTTGTGAAAATTTGTTTTCCTTACTACCTACTGAACCAAATTCTTTGAAATTTTCAGTGGTTAATAAGGATTGTATTTATCACTAAAAGGCAATCAATTTTTTACATTTCAAAATAAATAATTTTAATTTTCGAAACATCTCATGTTTCAAGGTATCTATGCACATACCTCAGCTAGCATAACATATGCTATGTTGTCTGCCAAAAAATTGATCACATTAAGATGTTTGATGTATTCATAGAATGCTTTCCGACGTCTTGCCATAAATTGCTTTCTCATTCGTTGCTTTGTAAATAAGCAAGATTTTGATTTTACAATCCCTTTCTCTTTGCAGGTTGTCACATTTACGAAACCTGAACTTCGATCAGTTGGAAGAAAGCCTGGAGATGATGAACAACTACATGTACTACCTCTTTGCAAACTTGATATTTCAAACGAACAAGGAAATTTTGATGGAGTTGCAGAAAAAATAAAATCAGGAGCAATTGAGGTTAGTTATGTTGTGTTAGTTAAAAGATATTTGTGTCAATATGATAAGTTTTATTTCAAGGTAACATAATCAGACAGTCAGGACTGTTGAATTTTTTCCATGTTATTTTGTCGTATTTTCAAACATGACCAAGTCTGAGCTTGGGTCGAAATTTGAATTTTTCGTAGTCAAACTGAATTTCAGATTTTCTATTATCAAAATTTATGACAGAAAGTCAAAAACTCAACAGACCCGCGCTTTTTGCAATTCCAGAGTCTAAGCCAAAGTTACTCCAGTCTGGAGTCTAAAACCTGCTTAGCAAACAATGATTAGCTTTGCAATTGCAGGTATATTAAAACATTCTATTATGTTCTTTTATTACATCATGATTCACTTAATTTTGTGTATTTTTGTCTGAAGAATCTGACATCTGATTGCAAAACAACTCAGATTCAAATATTAGGTATTCCTAATTTTCTGGAGTGAATTTTAATATTCTTCGTTTCCACTCTGGAATGTCATCGTAAGCACTGATAGAATATTGGTATTCAATTCCATGGAAAACTTGGAAAATAATTCAAGTTTTAAAAACCTTACTCAATTAAACACTGTTCGGTTTATTTTCTCAGATTCTACAACGTTATCGACACGAGAGTCGTATTCGAAAGGAACCGAAACTATCAAAAAAGCAGAAAATGAGAGCGGCTAAAAAGAAGAACCAGACTTCAGATTCTACTGATAGTCCACAAATTAAACGAAGAGGTCGACCTCCGAAACGTTGCAAATCTGTTGAAAATTTGTATGATGGTAATATCAACTTCATTAATAGTCCAATGAGAGAAGGACTACAATCTAATGAGTAAGTAGATGAGATTATAACCATGTATGTTCAAATAACTCGAATGTTCAAATTCATTTGAAATTTGTTGTTTGTAGGTACAAAATAACTCGAATATTCAAATTCATTTGAAATTTGTTTTTCACAAGATTGTAGATTCCTGTTTTTAGGAACAATTTAATTTTAAAATTGTTAAATTAAGCTGTTGGAATTCTGTCATTGAGGCTTTTGTTTAATTAAAAAATAAACTTTCCTAAAAAAAATCGAATTTCGATCAAGTCAAACTCATTAAAAACTCGATTAAGAATATATTTGATGCTTGATATTTGAAAATATTATTTTAGGTAAGCTTTTCGAGTAGTAAATTTGGTGCTCTTCAGAATTTAAAGATAATGTTACTTGTTTTCAGATTTCAAACACCTCCGAGGTTACAACAGCATAGTTCTGAGCAGCCCATACAACAACAACAACAGCAATATCCACCATTTCCTAATCCTAGATCACCAACAAGATGGCCCTATCGAAGGCAGGTAGCACCACCAACATATGCTGCCGGCACTCTCTTTTCTCCCCCACCCCAAAACACCCCCAAACCAGAAAATGTTCAACCACCCCCAGCCTCGTCATCAAACCCTCTCGATAATTTACCTTCAATTGGAAACTTTTTCGTACCTGGGCAACCTGGAAATCCTGCAGAGAATCCTCCTGTTGCTAATAATGAAGCGACGAATAATTGTACCCCTATTAGAAAACCGTCAGATGAAAATCACCCATCCACACCGCTTCCATCTATCAAAGATGTGGTGACCCACCCTTTTCACCAAAACTTTGCTGCTGTTCACACCCCTGTCACCAAGAATTCCGCAACCGGGGCTCAAACCCCAATGCAAGACAATGCTCCCGGAACCCCACACTATGGTGACACATCTATCAATCTAAAGACGTATGCTGCACATAATAACGCACACCTATCACAAGCAATCGATACATCGACTATGCTCCCAGCATCACAACACAATTTCGGGAATTACGGCATGCAGCAGACACAAATGCAACAAGCTACCTCAGAACAGCCGTTCGATGTTTCATATTCTGATTCTGAAGAAAATTTCATTGATTCAGAAATTGGTGGAGTGGCTGTCGCACCTGGTCACGGATCGGTAAGTTTTCGATAACAGGATGTGGTTTAATGACCCTGATGTTTGTATCCATCTGCTTGAAATCTTTCTGTGAAGAAACATTGGTTTATCAGTTTTTAATTTATAAGCATGGCTTTTTGCCCGGGAAAGAGAGCATAGGGTTTAATGACTTGCAGCCTTAATATTTTGCACAACCTACCATCCTTATGAATCCACAACTATTAGTAACATCCTACATTATTGATTGTATTCCAGGTTCTTATTGAATGTGCGAAGAAGGAGCTTCACGCAACAACTGCTTTGCATCGGCCTAATCGATATCGACCTTCTCGTATATCCATGGTGTTTTATCACCATAAAAATATGAACATGAGAAATCATGGTGCTGCTGAATATGAAGCAAAAGAAGAAGAGAGAAAGAAATTGAGGGTATAAACTATAAACTAACTTGATATATTTATTACTAGCTTATGCTCTTCTCATTAAACTGAACTTTGATTTTTATGTTAGGCATTGAGACCTTGCTTTTCATCGTCAATTTTTTTAGTCAAGTGTCTAGATGTTCTCTGTCAACAAGGCCATGTAAACGTATACCTTTTAGTATGCAGGTTCAAACCGACTCTAATCTTTCCAGACTTGTATGGCATACTTGATTTTAAACTTTCTGATAATGTTCGAGCACAACTGAATAAACTGTAAGTGTTTTGTTATTAACATCTTTGTATTTGTCTCAGAACAACCTACCATAATGAAGCACTGTTGTAAAGCCCATATCTCACCATATTCCCACCCAAAACCCTCCTGAGTTTACTGAATAATCGTAAAATTATTCTAAATTCCACCGTTTCTCACTGTAATTCAGACAAAAAATTGTACTTGTTTTTCAGGAGGAAAAAAGATCAGAAGAAATGCAGAAACTAAGGGAAAATTCCAACAGCAATAATTTTATTCCCCAACAATTACTTCCTGGGGGAATGGCAAATCCTTCAATTTCTGATCTCATTCCCAATGGACAATTCCCAGTCACAGGTGCAGGGAACAACATTTGGAATCCTGCCCTTGCCACTCATCCCATAATAAATATGCCTACCTCGAGACCGCAAAATATGGGTATGATAACACAGCCGCAAAGACCATCTCACCATCATCCGCAGTATCCCAATGTACAGCCTGGCCGATATGACAATTTAGATCAAACTCGTTTGAAATTGAGAGCACAATTAATTGCTTCGTCTCCACATGATAGGAATGCAAACTTTGAGAAAATGGTCGAACAACCTGTGAGACATGGTTTGAACATGCAAAGAAGTCCCCATGATATGCAGTTTGGGAATGCAATGAGGAGTCCGCAGCCTGCCATGTTGCCTCTCAACAATCCAATGCAGAATCGTGAAAGAATGATGATACCTCAATCAACGCAAGGTTGGCCACAACATTTTACCCATGAAGGGGGTACTAATAATAATAATATGAAACAATTATACATGCAACATCATATGGGACTTTCGGGGCCTCAGTACCCAGGAAATATACAATTCCAACCCCAGCCAATGACCCACCTGAACCAATATGGTGGCTCAAACATGGTGATGACATCGAATGCCCATATGATGCATACCAGTACCATGGATTCAAATTATCTAAAATATTCTTCACAAATGGCACAAGCACGGCCGAATATGAGCAGTTTGTCGTCGCAGGCATCAACCCCATTACACATGATGCATCCTGGGCACCAAATGTATAACATCAATGGTATGCCGGCCGTGCCAAATTCGCATCATCCGCAGTATATGCGTAATATGCATTCACACAGTGCCAATTTGGACTTTGCTCACGTTTCGTCGGGTTATCCGAACCCAGGCTTAATGCAACCCAATCCACATATGAATCCTTCGCATGGGTACACAAACTCCAACAGATTTCCATCGAATTACTAGCTGGCGCTTAGTTGATGAAAACAACAAACTGCATGCTGTTCTGAATTCTCATTCCTTTATTCAATTCGCTACTGCACGGTTGAAAAGGTGTATTTTCAAAACTTATTTATTTAATTTGCCTGGAAATTACTTTGTCGGCTTATTTTGCACTGTTTTTCTGTGGTTAGCGGAATATGAATTTCTGGATTAAAAAATGTAGTGAATTAATCAGAATTGGTACTGACCTATAAAGAATTTCGCTAGGATACAATTTCTCAGTATAATAATCGTTCATTTATACATGCCAATGTTTTTCCAATGAAATTATAAATTAAAAAGGTATGCTTTAAGATTTCCCAATGATAATTTCTGATTGAAATGGATGGATCTATTCGTCACTAAGTTTCAGCAATGGATAGGTAACTGAGTGTCTCACCCATTTCCCTAACCTGTCATGTATAATTGAATAATTCTTTGAATTTTGAGAGGTGAGAGGTAGTACCTATCAATTTTCTATTGTACATACCTTATTTATAATGCCAAAAATTATCCCACACCATGTATTTATTTTCCACCAACTTTTGTAAAAAAAAATCGTGGATTGTAATCAGTGATTATGATGAATTCAAAGTATAGCAAGACATGGATTTTATCAAGTGAACAAAAAAAGTTGAACAGTTAAGAGAAGAAGTTTGATGAGGGTTTCGTTCTAGTTTTCTCTCTGAATTACTTCTGTATTTTTTTTTATTTTGAATCTTTTTTTGCATCGACAACCTATTTTTTTTTACTTTGAATATTTCAGTTTCGTTTCAACTCTGCTTCTCAATTTCGACTAACAATATCCAAAGATAACCGAATAATAATTACTTGATTGAATTTGTCGTTGTGCAAACTGCCCCATTTCTCGTTTCCTTAACTTTTTTGTTTCAAATTTTTTTTTCATTCGTGAGCGATATTATCATGTTCCTTCTTGGCTTCTAGTTTCCTTACGTCTTTGTTCTTTCTAATATCCGAATTTTCGAATCAATGGCATTATTTTTAATTTATTAATCAAGCAAGCGTTGTGCTGAATATGAGATGACAACCAGTCATCCAAGTCATTAGCAAGTTTTTTACTTAAATTTGGACATGTGTGGTCCAATGATGTAGAACATCGTTCTGATATAATACATAATTAATCATATTTGTCTTTGGCAACGAATTATCGCACATGAAGTCGTTCTGTGGTGATGGCTTTATATGAATGGGTAAGTCTTTGCCTGATATGTTATATATTGGTAATCAGTAAAAAAACAATCTTTTCTAGAATTATCTTTGGCAAAGGAAATTTGACACAAAACTATTCATCTTTGTGTTATCTGATGTCGTGTTGCCAAAAAGTTTATAAAAAATATTTAATCCCTCCCCATTCAAGATTTCTTAATTAAATGAATTTCCATCATTATTACCATTTCATTTCACCGTTATGCTTTGTAAAATCAAACAAAAAAAGACTTCGAATTTGTGAGCAATGAACTGGGAAAACAGGAACGTCATGCCTAGTCTTATTGGGAAGCAAATTCTTTCATTAGATGTTGAATGAGTAACTGTATAATGTATGGTAATATTATTTGTTAATTTAAATTAAAACGAAAATAGTTTTCTTTCCCCTATTTGAAACTCAGGATTGATGTTGTATAATGTCGTTCTTTCCCGTTTTTATAAATGTCAACAGAAGACGTATAATCATGGTTTTGGCGGTCTTACAGGGCTATTTTGAAGCAAACGAATTCAAGTGAATAAGGTACAAAATGATTACATATGTGTTCAGAGTATGATAAATTGATATAGGGCATTTTTTCAAGAAGTTTGCTGAACATGTAGTGTGCTTTTATATTTTGGCATATTGGTGCTCTCAAAAAAAAAAATTGTAATATGTAAAAGTAGTCTTTCATAATTATTAACAATTTCAAAATTGACGTTTTTTTAAGAATAATGTATGCTCGCTCACGGATTGTCTATTGACGGTCACACCTTTAATAGTACCACGCCTTTTTTTTATCTTGATGTCGTCATACCCTTTAATTATTTAATTAGTACCACTTTCATGTGCTGGTTTGATTTTTTTGTGTACAGTCTATTATTCAATTTTGTAGAAAAGCGAGAACGAATTATACTATTTTTCTACTGAAAACGTTCTGGGATTATTATTATTTTCTCCCGCATGAATTATTCTACCATTACTTCGATTTTTTTGTGTTTTCTTTCAATTTTCTAGTCGTACTCTTTCTTGTGATACTTGATTATTATTATTCATATTGTCGTCGACAACCATCTTGATGAAATCCTAGCACACAAACAAATAAAATAAACGGCGATGGCGACAATGTAATAAAATATATCCGTTCGTCCGTTGTATGCTTGTCTTTTTCATGTTGTTAGTGAGCAGTTCTCGAAGACTAGTTGTACAGTAACGTAAGTCTTTACTCGGCAGATAGCGCGGTTCAGGGGTACGCGTTATCATTCCGAGCGGACATTAGCGGTTTTGTGTGAATCACCGTGCGTGAGAGGATTCCTGGAATTCATGTTCGTCCGTTGTATGTTGATGTTTTGAAAGGTCGTTGGCGAGCAGTTGGTGGAAACTAGCTGTACTGTAACATAAGCCGTATAGTTTACGTTTTGTATACTCGATAGATAGCGCGATTAGGGGGTACACGTTCAACGTTGACAAAATAATTTTTCTGGGTCAGGTTCTGAATTTTATGTGAGTTATCGTTTGCAGAAGGATTTCTTGTCTCTTCACCAAACGTACGGTCCGGTACAGCGTGGTGGGACAAACACGTCGATGCGTTGGGAGCCGTGCAACTGGTTAACTAATCCCGATATGGGCAGTTAACATGCCTAAGAGTCTTTGGATTTTCATATGATTAGACCGCGGCGTCCTACTCGGAAATTCTGTCAACAAATGGTAGGGTTTAGCCAACTTGACTATTTATATCAGGGGTCGGACGGATGTCTAATACAGGAATAGGAGTTGCAGGTGCGTCGAAAAGTTTATTGCGGAGTTTAGGCGGAAATTGACGCGGCCCGCACACTACCGGAATTGTGTATATTTGTCCCGGCAGTACATATAGTTTGCCGACCATTTCTTTACATGTTCGTGCAACGTTCGCATCGCTCGATTTCAAAAGGGTCTTGTTAATTCTATATAGTTTGTGTTTTGCAAACCCTTAGAGCCTAGGAAATTTTAAGATGTCTTTCTTTTACGACACAGTTGTTGCAGCTGTTAGTAAATTCACAATGACTTTATTAAAAGCTTGCTCAAGTAGTGCGTTTTGCAAATACGAAAATGGAAAAGTATCACAAAATGACGATGACAAAAGTGTAGAAAAAAAACAACAGAACAAAAATTCGGAACAGAGCATCTATGGCGTTTGTGAAACTATGCATCATCTTTCCCGTTATTATGTCTACGACAAAAATAACTAAATCGTACAACATGATATAGGCAGAGCTTGTATCAGAAATATACATACAAGTGCCATAAACGTTACTTCAAACAGTTTATAGACACGTAGCTACACCACAGCCCAGATTATCTGATGCTGTAAAAATAGCATCCGTCTGGGGTTCTTTTTGACGTCTGGAATCACACTAGTTATAACAAAAAGGTAAAGTGAAACCTACGTTTTTTAGAGAGTCGATCAGACTACAAACAATAATGGCAATTACTTAATTCAAAAAGTGAAATAGACTATGTCTAAAAGCAATAAGAAAATTTGAGTATAAATATTTACAGAATAAATATCCTATGCACGGTCAGGTACAGTACTAAAAATGCGAAATATTTTATCTATACACTACAACGAGGTTGGAAAATTTGCTTATGTTCCACATTAAGCTGCACAAGGCACAAAATGCTCCTTACAAAATTCTTCCATTCTGGTCATCGCTTCCTTCAGTTTTTCTTCTGGGACGGTCAACACAATTCTGAAATAGTTCGGGTAGTCGAAGCACTGAAAAAATAACATTCATATTAATAATTATTTAGAACCACCTGGAGGAATTTTGTCGTTTCCAAGGGTCGTTTTATCAATCAATCAATCATAGTATCACTTACATCCTTCATGATAACTATGATACTTATTTATTCGCACATCATACAAAAGGGGGAGTGTGGATCGCGCGTAACACCGGGGAAGGATCCATTAAAGATTGAACAAATAAAGTATTTTCATGCATAGTGAGGGAGGAATGGAGAGTCCCGCAATAGGCGAAGGGTAGTAGAGGGATTAAAATATCTTACAAAAAAATGTTGATTCAGGCTTTACGCGATTGAGATACTGAAAATCACAGAAATCAATTGTACTGTAAGTTAACTGCAAGTCCAGCTTTAACAACGACATTTCTGCATTGCATCATACGATGTCGTTTTAGTTATAAAAACACACCCAGGGTGTAATGACTTGTGTAGGCAACGGTGAACCTTAAAGATTCCGGTATTTAAAAAAAAATAGTAAGTGGCTGATAACCTGATACCCGCATAGCCTTATTTGGAGTGGATGTTTGAAAATACTTACTGTGGCAGGAAGGCAGAAGACACTTTGTTCTGAAACTAATGCTTCAGTAAATTCAACTTCGCTCTTGAATTCTGGGAAGTTTTTCATTGATATTCCAACCTGTAAATTGTAAAGAATACGGAATTATACATCGCGTGTAATTTGTAACACATCATCGAATTCAATATTCAAATTCGTACTTACCATCATATAAAATGCTGCCTGTGGTGTGACAGGCTGCAGTCCTGGCATGTTAGCAATATGACTGAATGCGTATTCTGCGTTTGTTTGTATGATATTTATTGCCCTGTCCATATACGAATTATCACTATCTTCCAAAATTTTCGGTAATATTGCTTGCACCAACGTACACGGTCCTAGAATTCGTTGAGTCAGGCATGTCAATGCATTCCGAATCTTATAAAGTAAGAAAGAATCATAACACAAAAGTACTGTAATAAGAGAGTACCGGTACAAATACATGGCGACAAAAAAAGGGATTGTTCATTTTCAAACTACCTAGCTAGCAGAGATCGATCAGCCAAATATCCGAATGACGTCGCAGTTTTTAAAGAAATGGAAGAACACAATATCGTCACGCTAATAACCGAATTGCGTGAGTCATTTATGGCGGTTTTGAGTTTTTTTATAAAATAGGTATTTATGTAATGCTGCGCACCTGTCTGTTAACTCAGATTTTATTTTAGGAATTCCGAAACCCATAAAAATGGAGATTTTGTATGACATGCACATTTGTGCAATTGTTTCGTCATAATTAATTATCGTTGTTGCCGCAGGACTATTGTGACGTCACAAAGGCAAAATAATCTCGACTAAAAATTTCAAGTTTTTGCATCTGCATAAATTTGAATTTATTCTATAGTATAGGAAGGCATGCACTTGTGATATTCACTGTCTGAGTCCAATTCACCTTGGTTGGCTTTTATATAAGGGTACATTGCTGTTTTATTCTTTATTTTTAATCTTAGTCTAATTTCGGTGAGTGTGCAGAGCGTGTTATATTGATCAAATATATATTTTAAAACACAAAAAGAATGTACTTGAAACAGATTAGCAATTTTGGGGATTCGACATCGTAGATACTGGGAATTACATTTGGTTTCCAGGACTGGTGCATATAGTCAAGTTGCAAAATAGCGTATGTCCCCAAGCCATAGACACATTTCTGGCTATGTCACAGTGCGCCATTATGACGTCACATACCTGCGTCATACAAACTAAATTAAATCCGGCTACGATCAAAAAATTCAACCATGGCAAATTATTGACTCTCGATGACACAACAATATTATTAGGAAGTTTTTCTCAAAACTGCGAAAAATGACTTACGCAATTCGGTTATTAGCGTGGCGATATGCTAAATTCTGTGAAGAAAATATGGAAAGGTATGAGAGATAAAGCTTTCAAAAATACACAACACTCATGGGTGGAAGAACCCTGGTATACTTCGACCAATTCTACAATCGGGATAAGCCACGTTTATGACGTACCGAGATCCAATATAAGCAATTACTGTACAATCCCGTAATTACTCTCTCGAAATTTCTACGTACATAAAACAATCAATATTTGCATGTGGTTCGAAATTTTTTGTCACATCAGAATGCGGTTTTAGGCCTATTCAAGTAGAATATATAGGACGACTCAGAGACTCTGAAATTCAATTAGATTAGGCAATTACAAATGTTTACTTAGAACTTACCTTTTGACCCAGGACATTGTTTCTATCGTGCATGACAACCCAGCCAAGCCGCCAACCAGGCACCAGAAATCTAAAAATCAAGCCTCAGCTATTAATTACAACTATCACATGCTCAAATTTTGCACCCAAAAAAACATTTCATTTAGATTGTAAATGCATCGACCGTCAAGTGAAACAAGAGCCAAACAAATTAGTTCGTACAATGAAGCGTGCTTGATAACATGACTTGTGTAATATATAGGTACTCTTCATGTTCAGCAATCTGTGGGTATAAATCATCTCCACAGAACGATATCATAAAGTTTAATCATTCGCTGCAAAGTAATACTGATTAATCATTAGCCGACTGTCACGTACATGCTCATCAGTCAACGCAATAAATTTGTGAGTGTAACTAAGTAGAAGATCATAGCGTAATTTTTCACTTACATTTTGGATATCCCTCCACACGTCAAAATTGGAACGTCGTCCGAAAGTGCAGCACAGCTAGTAAATTCAAGTGGTCTGAATACCTGCAGAACAAATGAAATCATTTGCCAGACACTAATAAATGAGCGAGACAGATAACACCAAACTGAACACGCCCTAAAAATTCTGATTATAACTTTTATAACGATTATACATCGACCTAACGTACTTTGGCAAAGAACAAGTATAGGGTATATACCAATACAGTTGAATGTAGCATTTCAATGTCTAGTAAACTATTTTAGTTTCGTCTAAAAATCAATTTGTGGGAGACAACGACACCTTGAATATGTATGATCAATATAACTTAGTGTGTGCAAATTTGCAATTAGTGTTGCGACAATTTTTGTATAGAGACATTCATAAATGTAAATTATAAGAATAAGAATTCGTTGGGAAATTACTTCACTTTAAACTAGAAATATAACAATAAAATTCAAGTCTTACCATCCCAGCATAAATTTCATCAGAAATCAGAGGAATTTTGTGCTTTGAAGCAACTGTAAAATGAGAACATAATGTTATCCGGCCTACAAAAATTTTCGTTTACATTCATCTCCGTATTATTGGGATATGCCATTTCTGCCATCCTGTTTCTATGCCATTTCTCTCTACCTGTATCATACATGTTTGTGTTATTTTCTATCTAACTGATTGGAGTATTTGGTTGTATTAAGATCTTTGTTAACAGTTAGACTTACATTAGGTTAAATGTGTTATGCTTCATTCACAAACATTGGATTTATACAAAGACACTCAAGTTGGTAATCTGTAAAGAATCTGCTCATCAGACTTCCCAACATGGCGCTGCGACTAACAGATGCTACCAGCTGGAGTACTTTTTTCAAATCTCTCGGCATCCCCGATGAGAGATCCGATGAATATGGAAATACATTTCATGCTAATGAGCTCACTGAGACTGAATTACCACAGCTGGACAAAAATACTCTTAAAAGTGATTTGGTTATAACAATCTTAGCACATCAAATTAAAATATTGAATCATTCTCAGCAAAAACATATCCAACTCTTCTCAGCCCACCAAACTAAATCTGCCCGTAAAGTTACCTGAATTCTCAACTAGAATGTCTAGTTCTGATTTTCGCACTGCTTTATCCGTGTGGACAACATTCAAGAACCTTCAACCACATGCAAGTGTTCATGCCAATGATTTACTTTACTCTGCATGTGATCAGGCAGTTCAAAAAATCATCAAACAACACATGTTCAGAGTTCAGAGGACTTAACCGAAAAGGAATTCCTATCTAAAATCAGGAACATTGTCACACTAGAATTAAATCCTCTTACGCACAGAACAAAATTCATGGACATGCAACATACTGGGGAAACAGTCACACAGTTTGTAGCCAGACTGCTTTCTGTGGCACACGACTGCGAATACATATGCCCAAGCGAAGCATGCAAGTTTGATCAAACCGACTGGCACGTTCGGGATCAGCTCATCAAGGGCATCTGCAACACAACCCTTCAGGCTGACATACTGTCCAAATGCGCAGACAAAAAGGCCCTTATTACCTTAGAGGAAGTTGTTAAGTATGCCACCGCTTACGAATCGGCTATTCGAAATCAAGAAACGATACACTGCCACACACAATCATATCTGTATCACACTTCGCCACACAAAGACAACGTCAAAAGAGAAGCCCTAGCAAGAAGTCATCTTCAGGACGCATTGCATGTAGGGGATGTGGCAGTCTTAATCATGGATCCACAGAAATGGACAGGAAGAATCGATGCCCAGCATGGGGAAAAACTTGTTCTCACTGTCAAAAAGATAATCATTACAAGAAAGTATGCTTCTCCGCAAAAAGCAATGCAATACAGGCACAGTCCATGACATCATCCGAGTCCCAGTCAGACTCAGATTCTGTGGATGAAAAAGCCAATCTGAGTGTAATTTCACTTTATAACGTTGGAGATCCACACTCCTCATTAGCTGAAATCAAAATTCAGATCTCTCATACTTCGTCTACAGCAAACAGCATCTGCTCCAAACCTGTGACAGCACTACCGGACAGTGGAGCATCAATATGTGTCGCTGAACATCCATATATTTCATATTTGCACATATCGAAGAGAGTTCTACAAAATGTAACAAAAGCATTCGCATTGTAGGAGGTAGTACTATCAAAGCTTACTGCTATGCCAACGTAAACATAAATATTATTGGATATGGTAAACAAACAAAACAACAAACTATACTTTACTGAACCTGGATAAAGCTACGCCATCTATATTTAAGCAAAGATGCATGTATAGCATTGGACATCCTACCGAAGAGTTTTCCACTGCCATCACCTAATGCCAGCTCAATAAACTCTCTTACGAGCACAAGGGTCTCCCACAAAACCCTCAATCACAAATCAACGGGTTCAATCACTACCGACCAGACCTATGTCTATTTCCTTTTCCTCCAACTGAGGACAACATAACTAGACTGAAACAGTACATTCTGGATAGTTTCAAGGCTTCCGCCTTTGACCGATCTCCACCATTCCCCACAATGCAGGACCACCTGCACACATCTACCTCAACCGAAGGCTATCCCATATGCACGCCACACACCGATTCCAATACCATACATATGGAGAAACCAGCAAAGCAAAAACTACTGGACGATGTCGAAAAGGGCATAGTAAAGCCCGTACCTCCAGGCATGATCAACCATGGGTGTTCACCCATGGTCACACTCTTGAAGAAAAATGGATCTATCCGGCGAACTATTGATTTACAGAAATTGAAACGCCCAGTGCATACGAGAAGCTCACTATAATCCATCTCCATTCAAAGCTGCCTGCAAAATTCCTCCTACACGAAAAAAGTCTATTTTGGACATCACTGATGGGCTATCATAGCGTCCCACTAGATGAGGAAAGTCAACCACTGACCAACGTTCATCACACCATGGGAAGATTTATGAACACACGCCTTATTCAAGGTTTTAAATCTGCAGGAGATATTTTCAATCGCAACCTCGATTTCATTCTAGAAGAGTCAAACATTGAAAAAGTACAGCATGTAGTGGATGACCTATGCCTATATGAGAGTGACATTCAATCATCCTTCTATCAAGTTTGGGATTTTCTCACACTGAGCGTTCAAAAGGGGATAGTATTCATCCTGATAAATTCAAATTCTGTCAGGATTACCATCATATTTGCTGGCCTTAAAATAAACCCCTGCTGGGATTGCACCTGCCCCAGCGCTTCTTGACTCCATCAAAAACTTTCCACCTCCGACAAACATTTCACGACGCTCGAAGTTGCACGGCTTGGTAAATCAAATATCATGGGCTTACGCCATCTCCCCCATTATGCTCCCATTTCGCGCGAACCTAATAAAAAGGGATCCAAATTCATATGGGACGACACTCTTCAATCTATATTTGAGAAATCGAAAGCGAAACTTATCACCCTATGTGAAGAAGGGATCAAATCATTTGACCTTCATCGGACCATCTTTGATTCAATGCGACTGGAGCAAGGACGGCATTGGCTATCTACTTCTACAGAAATATTGTACCTGCGGTACAAATGAAAGCCCCAAATTGTTGCCCTGATGGTTGCATCTCGTATACGCCGGCTCTCGGCACACTTCACAAGCTGAAAGAAACTATGCACCCATCGAAGGCGAAGCGCTTGCGGTTGCTTGGAGCTTAGACCATGCCAAGTCTTTCATCCTCGGCTGTAAGATCTCATTGTAGTAACCGATCACAAACCCCTCATCCCATTGTTCAGCAACCGACAACTATCTGACATCAGCAACCCACGCGTGCTGAGATTCAGATCAAAAGTTTCTCAATACGATTTCTCCATACACCACTGTTGTGGAAATGGCACAGAGGGCCAGATGCGCTTTCAAGGAATCCAGTACTTTCTGCCTCTAATCCAACTGATGAAGACCTCTTTGCTGCTGAACTAGAGGACGACACCACTTGGTCTCTCATGCACGAGACAATACAAGCCTTAAATTGTTACATTGAAAACGAGAATGGACCTCTTACGGATCGGGCAATAACTATCGATAGGCTTCAAAACGCTTGTCAAGCTGACAAATCACATAAGCTGTTACATGAAACTATTTCTTCTGGATTCCCTCCCACAAGAAGTGCCACTTCACCGGAGGTTCGCTCCTATTGGGAACTACGTAACAGACTATCTTGTTTCGACAACAAGATCATTGTTTTAGATAACAAAAGATTCGTTATCCCTCGACCAGCTCAGATCATCTGTGCTCCATACACTACACAGTGCCCACCAGGGCTGCACAAATATGGTCGCTAGGGCAAAAGATTGTGTGTACTGGCCGGGAATGAACAAATGCATTTCTCAACTTCAAATCTTCTTGCTCCACTTGCTCCTATATTGCACCATCTCAAGTTCAAGAAACTTATCATACCAACACCTCCACCCCAATGGCCTTTTCAACAAATCTGTGCTGACCTATTTTATCTAAATGGTAACGATTACTTAGCAATCACAGACAGATTCAGTGGATGGATTGAAATTGCCCACTTTCACCGATCACCTTCCACAAACCGCATCATTCCTGTTTTCGAACAACTTTTCACGCGCTTTGGCTGTGCTGAAGAACTCAGTACTGATGGTGGCCCTCAGTTTGCTTCAGAGGAATTCAAGAAATTTCTGGAAATTTGGGGTGTGAAAGGTCGAATCTCGTCAGCACACTATCCACAATCAAATGGGCGAGCTGAACTTGCCGTAAAAACAGCCAAACGACTCATCCGGGACAATTTACTGCCAGACGGTTCCCCAAAAAGTCGTTCATTCGGCAAAGCACTTCTTCAATATCGAAACACCCCTCTCCGTGATATTGGACTCAGTCCAGCACAACTTTTGTTTTCTCGGCATCTGAGGGACTTCTTACCTATTCACCCATCAAACCTACGGCTCAATCCACTATGGACACAAGCAGCCAAAGCTAGAGAAAAAACTCTTTCTCAGGAATATATTGACTTACAAACTGAATACAACAAACATGCACACGACCTACCATTTTTAGAAGAAGGAACAAACGTTTCAATCCAAAATCCCATCAACAAAAGATGGGACAGGTCAGGAAAAGTTGTGAAATGCTTCAAACACCGTAAATACTTGATTAGAATGGATGGATCTGGGAGAACAGTCACACGAAACCGGAGATTCCTAAAGCCTATTTTGTTCGAACCCCAAGCTACAATTCCCATATCACGCAACCTGCCACATTCTAGCCATATCTCCAGAGCTAACCACCCTCCAAATTCGGGGCCCCCACCTTTTCGCCCTTTGTCAAACCAAACTAATCCCTCAGCTATTTCTCGTCCAGCCACGCACCCACCAAGATTACCTCTGGCATTGAGACGCCTACAGCCTTACAACAAGCCAGGGCTGTCTGAATGAACATGACTATACTGACTGTTCTATGTGATAAAATAAGACATTTGATAATGAATACTGAACAATTTTTATTTCTTTGTTTATTGCTGTTCAAATGTTTCTTTACCTGTTGCTATTTCGTTATTTATTCACTTTATCATTTTGTGATATTTTGAAAAACAAATATCTTTTTCCTTTACGAAGGGGAGATATTGGGATATGCCATTTCTGCCATCCTGTTTCTATGCCATTTCTCTCTACCTGTATCATACATGTTTGTGTTATTTTCTATCTAACTGATTGGAGTATTTGGTTGTATTAAGATCTTTGTTAACAGTTAGACTTACATTAGGTTAAATGTGTTATGCTTCATTCACAAACATTGGATTTATACAAAGACACTCAAGTTGGTAATCTGTAAAGAATCTGCTCATCAGACTTCCCAACACGTATAATAATCCAGACTCACCTGCCAGAATATTTTTCACGTGATTTTTCGGAAAATTGGATCCACAGGGATTGGATGGATTGACGACAACAATAGCTCTGGTTTTCTCATCAATCAGACTTTCAAGATGGTTCAAGTCTATTTCCCACATACGTTCAGGCTAGAAAAATATATGTAAATGAGTTTTATACACATGAAATAAATACTGGAAGGAGTCGTCTTCATATTAGATATTACACAATCAAAATATGAATGTGTGGTGTTATAAGGTAAAAGCGGCCCCCAGTGAAAAGTAAAAAAAATGAAAAAGCTATAGATTAGCGGCGACATGTCATATTCGACTCTCTAAATTGTAGTCTATTAGCAGTAACTGAAAACAACGACAAGTCACCCCCGTGTGTTTAAAACAAATCACACAATTTTGCATTATATTTATGTTAGTCATTGACCAAACAGAAATACACCTACAAGGCAGTTGTAGCTTTTGACCTCCATTCCCTGTGACAAGCAAAGCGTTTTATAAAGTGAAAATCCGGGTCTTGGGATGAGTATGTTTTCTCCGGGATTCACCAAGACCGATATGGCAAGTTCCAATGCATTCGAACATCCACTCGCGAGAAATACGTCCTATTGGATAAAAAGGTTACAATAAATTTAAACAATTCCTACAACATTTCTAATTTTAGGAATAAAATTTCGTGTGAAAAACTACCTCCGGAGCAGTCGTTGTACCACTTTTCGTTAAATGTCGCGCTACCGCTTCTCTGGACGTCTGGTATCCCGACGAGGGAGCATATCCGTTGAATTTTCCGCTAACTACAGCTTCTTGTATTCCAGTAACCGCGGAATCAGGTGGTGGAAGATTGCCAAACACCGTTGGGTCACCTAGAAATATGTTGGTTATGTTGCAGCAGGTTGATAGAATAAGCATGAACAAACTTCTATACGCTACGCCTTATATCGAGTAGCTTCACCTTGAAAATTTTTACTTACCAATTGCCTCCTCCTGAAGGCATTGACCTCGTGTTTACCGAGCAATTTATAATAAAATATATACCACAAGAAAACGTCTATATGTGATTAATAGCCATGATAGCTTGTAACTCCTCTACCAGTACTTTCTCTCATTTTCATCGATTGCTGGGGTGAACCACATGAGCAACGCCTCATTGAGGATTTTTAAGAGCCCTGTTCCATGGTTAAATATCGGCTGATTGCGTGTGTAGTTCCTGGAAGTAGTTTGATCTCGACCTACGGCACGACCGCATGACTTACAAGCGTTACTGTATTGTCTGAAACCGCGTTATCAATTTTCTCACCATCGAGACTCGTGTTATCTTAAATTATATCACAGTGGGACTGGAAAACATGCATCGGGAAATAAATTATACTGCAATTCGCTGCATAATATACGCATTGTCAATGTTGTCCGAATCAGTCCTACAGACATATTTGAGATCAGAATACACTGCAAATTTTAACTGCAATCCACCCAAATAAGCGATCAATTTAGATTTCAAAACTTAGGAGAGCTTGATAAATCTGAACGTTACAATCCACATTCAATGCCACGACATGCAATTCAACTTCACTTGTTGAAATATTTATAAAGTATAGGTAAATAGTCAGTGGCGGCGCGTCAATAGTGCCAACCGGGGCAATGCCCCGGTTGTTTTTTCGGTATAATAAAAAATATTCGAAAAATACCTCAATATCGGTTGTACAGACTGTCTACACTAGCCATATTCTCCCGACATGGTTCATTTTTCGCTCGCAAAGCCTTCGCCGAACGTCGACGGGGCGACGCCTATTTTGCCCCGGTTGCTCATTGTATATCGTATTCTCTCTTTTATCTTCCACTCACCGCGTTTGTCTCGTTTGTTTTCTGTTTCTTTTACTAAATCATCGGGGCCGATCGGGGCTAGCCCCGAAATTATGACGACACAATGCCGACGTTTCTTACAACAACGTGTTGAGATATTCACGCATTCCTTCTCGTTCGTTGGTTGCTTGAAAAGTTGATAGTTTCCTCGCCTTCGTTTTTGTCGCTTGTTTCGCTATTTGAATCAGTTAGAGACCTTTAGTCCATTTGCTTTCGATTTTCCACATTCCTTTTGAGCTCCTCACTTCTTTCCGGCTTCGCATTTCTTAGTCTTAGACCTCATAATGAATAAGGTTGATGCACTACTTCGCACTCCGTTTTCGCAGCTGCCGTTGGAACAAAAATTAGAGGTACAACGTCTTGGGCCTTATCAACTAAAAAATTGTTCACTGGAACAATCTCATGACGGAGGAAAGCGTCGGCGTACATTCTGCGCAGAAACTTGGTATAAAAAAAAAAAGGGTTGTGTTACAGCGAGGACAAAAATGCACTTTTTTGTTTTTATTGCCTACTTTTTGCTACCGCCCGTGACTCACGTTGGTGTAAATTTGGTTTTAGAGATCTTAAACATCTTTCCGAGCGTGCCAGGGATCATCAATCTTCTATGGAGCATCTGCACAATGCAGTAAAATACCGAACATTCGGAAATGTTAATATTGCAGCACAGTTGGATGAAGGACGCGCGGTTTCTATTCGTCGGCACAACCAAAACGTCGAGAAAAACCGCCATGTTCTCGGTCGATTGATAGATGTTTTGAAGTTCATTGGTTGTCACAAGCTGTCCCTCCGTGGGCACGATGAACGGGCTGGCTCTTCTAATAGAGGGGTATTTTTGGATATGGTGGAATACACCGCATCCCTAGATACAGTATTGAGAGATCATCTTGATGCCGCAACTGTTTCGAAAGGGATATCAGTAAGGATATCCAAAATGATTTGCTCGACTCAATGTATAAAATTTATTTACAACATTTGGCTCTGGAAATTGAGAATTGCCAGTTCCTTTCGATTCAGTCTGACGAGACAACTGACATCACGTGCGTTTCCCAACTGGCTGTGGTTTTTCGGTTTGTGAAAGATGGTAAACCTACCGAGAGATTTCACAGCTTTGTACCAATTGTTGATCGCACGGCTTGCGGGATATCGGCTGTACTGAAAGAAGTGTTATAGCCTTACAATGCGAAGTCAAAATTGATAGCTCAAACTTATGACGGCGCGGCAGTCATGAGTGGGTCGAAACATGGTGTTCAAGTTTATATAAAAGAAGATTTTCCTCATGCGCATTTTTTACATTGTTATGCACACAAATTTAACCTCGTTATTAAAAATATGTGTCTTGATACCCCTCTCGTCCGTATATTTTTTGCAAATGTTTCGGGCTTTCTTCATTTTTTTCCGTTTCGCCGAAGCGCTCTGACCTCCTTCGCCAGATATGTAGCCGCCGTCTCTCAGCTTGTGCACCAACACGTTGGAACTTCCAATCACGCGTGGTGCAGGGCGTGTCCGAAATTAGGTCTGAGCTCATTGAGTGTTTCAATGGCATTCAGAGCTCTCCGGTTTGGGACGAACGCTCTGTGAGGGAGGCGGCAGGTCTAAAGCGTCTGCTAGAAGATGGTGAGTTTTCATTTTTTCTCGCTTTTTTCTCCACGATATTCTATCACGTGGGTGTATTATACGGCGCATTGCAGTCAAGGCTAATGGATGGAGCGTCTGTGCAGTCGTGTATTTCAGACTTCTGCGATGCTGTATCTCGTATCCGGGAAACAATAAAATACGACGACACATGGAGTGCTTCTTTACGCCGCGGGCAAACAACGCAGCGTTTGATTTTGTCTGCAAAGGAATGATGTGACATTCTGGTGAATCAAATAGGCGATCGTCTGCGCACTGAACACCTTGCCGCGTTCTCTTTGATGAACCCCAAAAATTTTTCAAAATTTGCACGTTAATTTCCCATCCATTTGTTGGCTACTGTCTCCAAATTTTACCCCATGATAAACGTGGGTAAATTGGAAAATGAATTGCGATGTATATACACCAATCAAACTTTTTTGAACATCACATCAACTTGCGCGCTCTATGGGTTCCTCATAGATAACACTCTAGTAACTACCTTTGCGACGTCTGCAAAATTTCTGGACATCATTTTGACGACGCCTATTTCTTCCGCCGACGCAGAGCGAACATTCAGCACGCTGAAGCGTATTAAAACGTATCTCAGAAACACAATGAAGCAAGATAGATTAAATTCCTTGGCTGTTTTATCCATTCACAGAGACGTTATTTCTGGGATGCATGACTTTAATCAGCGCGTTATTGAGCATTTTGCTTCCAAGAAACCGCGGCGTGTTGCATATATGTTCGAGCAGTAGAAGTCTAGCAACATATCGTCACGCTAATAACCGAATTGCGTAAGTCATTTTTAGCAGTTTTGAGAAAAACGTAAAATACTTCCTAATGACATTGTTATGCCATTGAGAGTCACTAATTTGCCATGGTTCAATTTTTTGATCGTAGCCGGATTTATGTTAATTTGTATGACGCAGTTAAGTCACGTCATAATGGTGCACTGTGACTTAGGCAGAAATGTGTCTATGACTTTGGGACATACGCAATTTTGCAACTTTACTATATGCACCAGTCCTGAAAACTAATCATTCCAAAAACGAATGTAATTCTCAGTATCTAAAATGTCTAATTCCCAAAATAGCTAATAAGTTTCAATTACATTATTTTTTATGTTTAAAAATATATATTTCATCAATATAACACGTTCTATACACCCATCTAAATAAGACTGAGATTAAATATAAAGAATAAAACAGCAATGCACCCAATATAAAAGCCAACCAAGGTGAACTGGACTCGGACAGGGAATATCACAAGTGCCCGCCTTCCTATACTGTAGTATAAATTCAAATTATTTACGCGCTAAGCTAGAATCCGAGATGCAAAAACTCGAAAATACTTCGAGGTTATTTTGCCTTTGTGACGTCACAATAGTCCTGCGGTAACAATGATATTTAATTATGACGGAACAATTGCACAAATGTGCATGTCATACTAAATCTCCATTTTTATGGGTTTCGGAATTCTTAAAATAAAATCTGAGTTAACAGACAGGTGCGCAGCATAACATAAATACCTATTTTATAAAAAACTCAAAATCGCCAAAAATGACTTACGCAATTCGGTTATTAGCGTGACGATTTATATCTATGAGTGAGCGACGCATGTCCTTATCTTTGCATTAGCTTTCCTTTCTTCATAGTAACGTTTTAAACCTTATTTTAGGTTTTGTCTGCTTTCTCGAAGTTTCTGTTAATATATATATGTCATTGTATTTATCTGGGTAAATATTGCCTTTCCTTTTGAAAGAGGTTTCAAAATAAACTATGTCTATATTTATTAATCCCTTGACTTGGACCGGTTTTAAAGACACTTTCTTATCGTTAAAAATTGTCGCTTTTGCCGATTGGTTGTTACCGATGGAATGGTTTTTATACTCATAAAATGATGGGAGAACTTACAGCGCTCATCCTGTCCCCGTAGATTGGGGTGACTTGGTCCCGCAGTAGCTTGCCCCGGTTGTCAAAATGACCACGCGCCGCCACTGGACTAAATACTAATAACACATATACAGTGATTATTGTTGGTCTGTACAGCTCATGGTAGTCTAAGTAAGAAATTGGCAGTTAACTTACCTATTGAAAGTGGTATCATTGGCTTCTCCGGATTTGGTTTTAATTTCATTCCATCCACAATGGCCCGAATCGGGTTGAAGGTATTCTGAGCCATTACAGATGGCTCGACTTTCCATGATGTTTCGTTATTCATGGTAATGACTACTTACAGTAAATAATTTTATAGTACTTATGCTATTATACTACGTCTGTTATTCGAATAGATGTTTTGAGTTAGAAAACATTATTTGCCAAAAATAAATTCGAAATTTGACTGTCCTGCCTGTCTGAAGAATTGCTGAGATCTTCAATAAATGAAACGAAGTGCTTTTAACATATGGCCGGAATTTTATCTTGTTCAACCGCTACATTCAGGAAAAAAGCGATAAGTGGAGTACTAAGAATATTTGTAAGATTCATATTGAAACATATATTGTATCGGTCTGACTTCATATCATATAAATTGTTCCGGAAGTATTCGATTGTATTTTTAGTTAAAATATGCAAAATAGAAATTCCGATTCGAAAACGGGCGTTCAACAGGCTGCTACAAGAAGATTAAGGAATGATTTTCGGCTTCATTTTGAATGGACAATATTGAATTTCCTTAATTGCCAGCTTGTGAATGCAAAACCAATTAATACCAACCAACACAATGCATATTTTAACGCGATGAAGTCTATATTTCTATTTTAACTAAGTTCGGAGCGTCGGGGATTTGAATCCAAACTGTTAACTGACGTTACTGAACGTACATATCATTGCTTATCACGAGATTCGTCGAAACCCCAACTTCCAAGCTACATACAAATTATAGCCAAAACAGTTACCAGAACAGTTAAATGCTCTTATAGTAGTACTCGGGTTTCGAGTTTTCAAACGCAATGGAGCATACCGGTTCCTAATAAACTCTACACTCAAGGCACATTTGAATACAGTTTTAGCGCCACACAATCAACCTATAACTAACTCATTGGTATACCACGAAGGAACGTGTGGATAGTCTGATTCCCAGAAACGTGGAAAACCACAGGTAAATATCCTGTTCTTTCGACGTTAACGCGATACGACTGTTTCGCAATAAGTGGGTGTTTCTATTTCATCGACCGACACAAAACAATACCACTGTGACGCACGTGGAACAGGAGACATCCAATAAAATGGCACTGTGATAATAGAAGCTTTCACGCCCTCTCTCGTCTTGGCGGATTGTACATCGCATTATCTTGAGATCCTATTTTATATTCGGTATCTTTCTGTTTCTATTTATATTAAAATTTCTTTGTTTTCACCGGTCTTTTCAATTCATATGCTAAATATATCAATAGCATCCTATTATGTGATATATCATTGCAGCATACCAGAAGATATAGATATCAATTAATATTTCAGTATTGAAGCTAATTTTGTCATAAAATAAATTGTTGGACGCGATTAACCGCGAGAACATGATATGCAATAATAAACAATGAATTATTTCAGGTGAGGGTCATATCTTTCACGGTCAACAGGTTTTCTCAGGTCACAACAAACTATATCATCAAATGTTAACGAAATTGGGATCTTTTGTACAACGCCACCCGCTACCGCTCAAAATAAATAAAAAAAAAATTGTGATTATCCAGTTCGGGTTCGGGTCAGGAACGCAGATTGTGCTGGGAAGTCAAATTTTCAAATCATTTTCAACCCATATCGTTACTGGATAAATACTAATTTGTTATTTTAAAACGTGGCGGAGATGTTTTTCTCAAATATCACATTTTTGCATCAGTGGCCCGGTCTTTGTAAAAAAGATCCCAAAATTGTACATGAAGTATAGTCATCGCAATTGAAATGAACCTCCAGTCTATTTATTGTATGACTATGGTACAAAACAGGAAAACCGACAATTATTTTAATCGGTCCATAGAACGTCTCGTTCGAATTTTGTTATTGCACTTGTTTGACCTGGCGCCATTCATAAATTTTCGGGATTTCACGCTCCATTGAACAAATATCATAGCTTCTATACGAAACATTTATTACAGATCATATTAATAGCTGAATTCGATTTCTGCTTCTGACTTTACAAAGATCATAATAAATCACAATCAGTCGGTATAAAATATCGTACAACACCTTATCGACCATTGAGACCGCTCAAGATCACAACACAAGCCCAGTGAATATAATCGAAACTGACTAATTTACGTTGAAAAATAAACCCTTTTATTATGTATTTGCTACACGCCTCACACCGTATTGTTAATATGTGTATTATTATTTTGTGTTTTACCTGATACACTGCATAATTAAAATCCTCACTTCGCAAGAACTGACATATATATAAAATCTGACAACCTGCGCTTCAGATATTCATTAAGCCTGCCAACAAGATCTCACGTTTTTCATTTATACCAATCAGTCAAATGCCAATAACGAAACCAGTCTTTTGGTTTTATTCTTTAGATCGCGTGACGTCATATCCGGTAATGCGTGTACCATCGCTTCATCAACCCATTGGTCGGCAAGAGTAGGAGTGTCGTGACAAAACATGACGCACAAAATAACAAAAAACATTCGGTGTTATTCGGTCATTCAATCTTGTGTTGAAACATTCCACATTGATAACTGTTTTCGCGCATCCAAAAAAAATCGCAAAGTAAACTAGTGTTTCAAAGATATTAAAAGTCGTCAACAAAGTGGAATTATAGTTGCGTTTATCAGAACGAATTGTGACGGGGTTTACCGTAAACTTACTATATAAACAATGCCAGGCCGATGAATCGGGACTGCGTGATTTAACTAATTTTACCAGTGTTTGCCCATACAGAATTTTGATAAATAACACGTTAAGACGGACGGAAGGTTTGATTATAGTGTGTAAGATCAAAATACAGAAAACGTATACTGCAATTAAAAGTGAAAGTAAACGTTTCGTATTTTTATAAGAAAAAGTTGCTTTAGCAAAATAATTATTTTGAATGATGATACGGGTGAGTTTAAATAAAACTCATTAAGTTAAAAATTCAAATCGCATCTAATCTTGATCATGCGAATTGTATAAGCAGTTTTCGAAAACAGTGTCCACAATTTTTCGAGCTTCAGGGGATATTTGAAAAACGAATTAAAAATATTTTGATCATTTAGAATTTAGATTCTACAACCGTTTATTGTATTCTATTGTACTTTGATTGAGATCGAATAAACAATAAAATATGAAATGCAAAGAGATAATCAGAATCGAGGATCCGTATACAATTCACAGATGGTGAATGGTTAACAGATTGTGTTCATTTGAATATGTTGACATCAGGCCGGAGTGTTTCACTCTAGAATAATTCAATATTTTTACGTTGCACCTGCCCTGCCCGTTATGTGCAATGGAGACATGTAGAACTGATAGTTATGGTGCGAGAAAATTTACCAAACGCCTACTTTTGTCATCGACAAATAAGAAATCATTGATCGGATATTTAGTGCATAATCAATAGGAACAGTATGAATCGAATCTATGCTGGTAGTACCGGAAATATAGATTAGGAATGGAAAAAACCTACAATGTTTTTTTAGGACAGCTACACAAGACGTGTAGCCTACTACCCATCCATCGGGGCAGTGTGGTATGTTAAGATCTACTCTTTTATTGTTATCAAATGTTGTGTAAATGAAAAATGGTTACAATGCGACAAGGACTGAATAAAGCTTTGTTATAAAACGAGAGAGCGATGCTCAAATATATGGACACGAAAGCCAAAGCGAAGTAGTAGTCAAATTTACTTCATACACTACCTTACCTAGTCCTCTGTACGGCACGGTCAAAAAACTGCTGATATTCGTGCAGTGCGAGGTCGCAGAACCGCTACAAATAACTTTTATCAATTTTAAAGAGGTCATCACACAAAATTCATAAATGAAAAATGAATCACATGAAATCTACAATAAGTATAGAATATGAGTAATAGCCTTCTAGCGAAAAATACAATCTTTAACCACTGAAAATTTCAAAAAAATTGTTGCTGTAGTTAATGAGAAAAACGATTTTTCCACAACAATAGGAATAAAATTACAAACAAGAACAACATAATAACGAGAATATCGGTCGGAGACCGAAGACTTATCGATCGAATGTTAGGGGATCCCCCAAAACAGCGCTCTTACTCCATAGTGACACCGTGTGTCCCATCACTAATTAATTAATAACTCGCTAATTATACGACATAATTCATCAAAAATCAATAGGCTTCTGATCCGAGCTATGATAAATGCACATGCAGATTCAACCTCGCTTTTATGAGATATCGCGTGCATCTAACAGACAAACAAACAGACAAATACCTATCAACATACTTACCGATCTCAAGATTGATAAGTAACAAAACGATCCATATGTACACTTCATGTTCAATAATACATCAATGCGCTGTTGTCTTTCAATAATAACTTGGCAGTACCACGGATTCCGTAATGGAAGGTTTCACTAAACACCATTTTGACTGAAATATGACTGAAATGTTTGGCTAAAAATATTAATACAGGTAAAAGTAACACTACTATTTGATAAATTTTCAATTCTTTTTCTTTCAACTTTACAATTGCTGTGATCAAATAGTCAAACCCATAACTGGGACTTATTCAGTTCACTTCAGAGTTGTGTTGGAATAAAATGTTGATTGTGCAATTCTTAGTAAATATTAGCAAATTGGAAAGGAGAGCTATTGGTCCGTAAATATTATGGTCATGTTTTAGATCTCGCCAATACGACTTTCGCAAATTTCAACTGATCCGAGTAAAACGACATAATGACATTGGCTGTGTATGTACATCACTAAAATGCAGTGGCGGCGCGTGGTCATTTTGACAACCGGGGCAAGCTACTGCGGGACCAAGTCACCCCCATCTACGGGGACAGGATGAGCGCTGTAAGTTCTCCCATCATTTTATGAGTACAAAAACCATTCCATCGGTAACAACCAATAGGCAAAAGCGACAATTTTTAACGATAAGAAAGTGTCTTTAAAACCGGTCCAAGTCAAGGGATTAATAAATATAGACATAGTTTATTTTGAAACCTCTTTCAAAAGGAAAGGCAATATTTACCCAGATAAATACAATGACATATTAACAGAAACTTCGGGAAAGCAGACAAAACCTAAAATAAGGTTTAAAACGTTACTATGAAGAAAGGAAAGTTAATGCAAAAATAAGGACATGCGTCGCTCACTCATAGATATATATGCTGCTAGA